TTGTCCCTACTTAGCCTAACTCCGTCTAACTTCGCCGTACTTCTGCTCCCATTGTCCCTACTTAGACTAACTCCGCCTAACATCGCCGCACTTCTGCTCCCATTGTCCCTACTTAGCCTAACTCCGTCTAACTTCGCCGTACTTCTGCTCCCATTGTTCCTACTTAGCCTAACTCCGTCTAACTTCGCCGTACTTGGTGTCAGAAGTCCTGAGTTACGTGTAGAGTAAAGAGGTTAAGGCGTGATGGGGTTTTGATGGCCAAAGGAGGGTCATTGTTGGTGGAGTAATCGAGGTGTCGCGACGTAGTTCGTGACACAGGGGATACCCCGAAGAAATCATCGAGGTAGTGTGTGCACGGGATCCCTTTCGATTCCAGACACCAGTGGAGGGCCTCTGAGAACAGGTTGAAAAGGAACGGAGAGGAGCGACAGCCGAAGGGAAGACAACAGTCCACAAAGTCGACACCTTGGAAAGAGAAGCCAAGTAGGCTGGACTGGGAAGCAGCGAACACACTGACGAAAAGCATCCGCTAGGTCCGTTTTCCAAAGTTCCATGGAGATCCCTGAGGTAGAGGCTTGTCGGAGGGCAGCGAAAACGGGTTGAAGGCTGCCATACCGCAGGGTGACTGCATCACCATCTATACCATCATTAACGGAGGGGCGAAGGGGACGATTTCGTGGCCAGGAGAGATGGTGAATGGTGCGGAGTTTTTCACTCTGAGGTTTTGGAACTGTGCCAATGGGTGAGAAGACAAATGGGGGCATGGTTGGGTTCCAGGGAGCAATGAGACCTAAGGCAAGACGCGAATCGATCTCCGCTTGGAGATGTTTGTCACCTAAGGTGTCAGTGGGAAGGTTGATCCCCCTTGGTCTCCCCTCCGAGACCAAGGGCCCTTCGTATCACAACAGGAGGCCGTGAGTCACTGAACCAACGAGACTAGACACGAAAACGCGATCCGGGTAGAGGTTCAACGCAGACGACCAACCGCTCGCCGACATAACTGGGGGGGCGGCCAAGGTATCTAACGCGCTCCATATGGGGAAAGACAGATACGTGTTCGGTCTAGCGGGAGGGAGTGGGTACACAGTGGGACACAATTCCAAACGGCGGTACAAGGAAGGGGACAGACTATAGAATTAGTCATCGCGAGTGGAAATGATGCATCACTAATTCTCGAGACTAATATATCCATCGAGTCGGAGAAGGGGAAAGTAAACGAGAGGAGGGGGGGGAGCGGGCAACTACATTATCTGCGAGGAGGCACACGTGTGTCAGCTTACGACCGCTTATGACAACCACAGAGCGGAGCAGACACATGTGTGGTGGGAGGGGACATGCCGGAGGGGGCATGGGTCAAAGACCAGATGGAAGTGAGGACACTGAAAGACACTGGCCGCCGAAGAACTTGCACGGCAGTCGCCATGCAAGGTGGGGCAGTGATGTAGCACGAGACCCAGATAACGCAACTGGACTAACGGACAGACGCCGGTTAATCAGTGAGCACGTCCCAGGCGGGAATGCGCGATATCGTGATGGGCGGAATGGCATCCTAAGAGAGAAGGGGGAGATGGCCGAGACGTGAGGGGCAGACACTGGCACTGGAAACATCAAGGCATGTGGGACAGTACCAATCGTACAGGCAGCAGTCGCTGGACCAAGATACGAGCGATATGTGAGGGGCAGTACTACGCATGCGAGTTTGGGATCTCTGACATGGACGCAATATGCAGATGGTGAAGGGCAAGTTACGCTTCGAACCGGGGCTGAGTGAGATGGCACTCACTTCTTCGTACACCGTACCGCAGGATGCGGACCATTACACTTTGTACACCGATGCACAAACTCACACTCCAGCGGCTTATAACACTCCAGGTCCATCCCGAACCGTTTACACGGTGCTCCAGAAGAAATCCCCATTCGTCTCGGGTCCGAGGTGGCGGTGGATTTTACCTTTTGGCCTCGATGGACGACGGGTAGCGCAGAGGTGGAGGAGGAAGGAAGAGATCGTTTACTGGGGCCGGAGGAGGAGGAAGTGAAGGACGCGGCGGCGGATGCGAGGGAAGCATAATTTCGGGAGGAGCATTCACGATGGAAGAGATGTTCGTCATGACACTTATACCATTGCTCCGGGACAAAACCATTCTGCAATCTGTCGATGGCAAAAGCCACATGATATCGAAGGACGTTTTGCCAGGTGTATACTGACGAGTTCGATAGCAAGTATTTGAAATGCCAGTTAAAAGCACTAGCGATGTCGACCAATCCCTGGGGGTCGTCGACATCGGCCATTTCGAATTCCATACGCACAAACCAGCCAATAGCAAAGGCTGCTGCGTTGGGAAAAGCCGAGTACATTCGACCAAACTGACGGTCGAAGTCGTCTCTGTCTTTCCGGAAAGCCAGACGGGGTTGTGACACTGACCTGTCGAGGAAGATGACGTCGTCGTCGTCGTCCACTCGACCGCCTCCGTAGGAGGCGATCTCCATAGGGTCCACTAACAGGTACAGCTTGTCTGCTGGGAGCCGACCAGAGAGAGCAAGATCGAAGGTGTCTCCTTTAACATGGGGGTGGCGGGCAGCCAGGGATGGGACACCGTACTCACCTTGACCCCTTCGGGGAACCCCCCCTGGGCCCAAAATATTACCCCCAGCTCGTTCTAACCCCATGACCCTATTGTCGAGGCTGACGAGGTCTGCCCTTATGCCACTGGCCGCTCTCAATACATCATCTAAAGTGGCCGGAGGAGCACCTTGACCGGCCGGGGGAGCAGGCGCTCGGGGCGCCTGAAAATTTTCAGGGCGCAAGAAATTTGGCGGGAGATCGGGGGTGGCAGGCCGAGACGGAGGTTGAGGTGGTAGCGGCGGCTGTGGTGGTGGCGTGGGACGGGGAGGAGTGGGAGGAGGAGGGGAGGCTGGAGGTGACATAGTGTCTGGTGAGAGGGTGGGGCGAGGGGGAGCAGGACGTCTCCGTCGTTGTGGTGGGGGAGGAGTGATAGGGCCTTGACCCAAAGCGTCGGGGGGTGGGAGGTCGGGGGAGACATTCCGGGAGCGTTTTTTGATTCTAGCATACGTCTCTCTACGCTGCTCTAGTGTCTGGAGACGATACGGCACGTACTTGTGGTTGAGGGTACGAGTACCGAGAGAGCGTTTGGTGACCATTATGAAGAAGACGTGGGTTGAGTGACGAGAGTGGAAAATAGGATCTCGGTGACGAGGTGGAATGAGCGGGAGAGAGTGACACTGAATGAAAGAGGGAACGCAAGGGAATGACTGTCGATAGACGGAGTGATGATCGTGACAGGGGAAGAGAGCACGAAGGGACAGATCTAGAACGATGGCTGGGATGATGATGTTCGAGTGTGAGGTAGTTGGAGGTACGACCACGATACCTACACGATGAATATATATCATCCCCCTCAATAAAACTCGAGGCGATTATTCAAGGTAACAAATCTGTTTTCTAGGTAAGAGAGATAGAAAGTTTTGAAAGCAGATGGGAAAAAGAGAGAAGCTCGACGAACTGCTCAGTATTTAGTATAATCAAACCTAAACCCTCGTCGTCAACATGCAGCAAACTTCGCGTTTCATCAACAAAAGGCATCGCAGGGACGATCAAAATTCCCACGCTATAGTGTCTCATCTCAATATAAGCGAGGGTTACTTCGACAAACAACGGTGTTGTTCGGCTGCCATTCAGGAAGCGTGTCTCACCTACAAAAGACACAGGGCTTCTTACGGCAAACCTCGACGAAGTTAGGGGAGTCTCATTGTCGGGTTTTGGAGTGAAAGGAGGCCCAACTACGAAGTGCGGCGCAAAGAGCAGAAGGGTGAAGGATGGTCATGGGGAGGGAGAGAATGGGGGTACTACGCTGCTAAGTTCTCTTGACACGACAGAGGTGTAATCGCTCACGAGGACGTTCGCGGCTAAAGAAGGGGGTGACTGTCACGAACTACGTCGCGACACCTCGATTACTCCACCAACAATGACCCTCCTTTGGCCATCAAAACCCCATCACGCCTTAACCTCTTTACTCTACACGTAACTCAGGACTTCTGACACCAAGTACGGCGAGGTTAGACGGAGTTAGGCTAAGTAGGAACAATGGGAGCAGAAGTGCGGCGATGTTAGGCGGAGTTAGTCTAAGTAGGGACAATGGGAGCAGAAGTACGGCGAAGTTAGACGGAGTTAGGCTAAGTAGGGACAATGGGAGCAGAAGTGCGGCGATGTTAGGCGGAGTTAGTCTAAGTAGGGACAATGGGAGCAGAAGTACGGCGAAGTTAGACGGAGTTAGGCTAAGTAGGGACAATGGGAGCAGAAGTGCGGCGATGTTAGGCGGAGTTAGTCGAAGGAGGAAGAGGATGGCCGAGGGCTCGGGGAAGTTGGACGAAGTGCGTTGAAGTACGTCAAAGCGCGAGAGGGTTGGATGAACGTCTAGGAGGAGTAGATAATATTAGCTGAGAAGATCGCTGAAGTTCTTCAGCGATCCTTGATTGTTGTCAGTAGTGAAAGACAGATAGAGATAGCTATAAATCAAGATACATCGCCATCAGTAGAACAAAACCCTAGTTAGAGTAACTACGCCGAAGTACGCCGTAGTTACACCCCTTTCGACGTCTGCGCCCTCCTGGTTGGGTGAGACATCGACTCAGAGCGTGAAGTTAGCCGAGGTTCGTCGACCGTCGGTCTATTAAGAAATAGTTGTTCGACGGCCGTGACATATTCCTGGGTTTTGTGGTCTCCTCTCGAGGTGTATCGGTTAATCCAGAGTACATTGACGCCATCACATCCTTCCCACGTCCAAAGAATCTACGAGAGTCGAGGGGTTTCATTGGAGTCGTGAGCTATTACAGGCGTTTTGTTCCCAACTTCTCGAAGATTGCTAGACCTATCAATGATTTGACGAGGAAGGAGGTACCGTTTGTGTGGGGAGCAGAACAGGAGTCAGCCTTTAAAGAATTGAAGGCTAGGATGTGTACTGCACCGGTGTTAGCTCACTTTGACCCCACATTGAAGACCATATTACAGACAGATGCCTCGTTCTTCGGCTGGGGTTTCATAATTTCGCAGATTAATACAGCTGGGCAAGAGCACCCAGTCGCTATCGAGTCAGGCGCGTTCAATACGGCCCAACTAAATTACACGGTAGGAGAAAAGGAGTTCCTCGCCGTAGTTGAGGGTTTCAGAAGAAGAAGACACTTACTACTGCAGGTAGAAACCACGGTCCTTACCGACCATTTAAATCTCACTTAATGGATGGAACCGAAGCAACTCAGCCCACGTCAAGGTAGGTGGGTAGAAGAGTTAGCTAACTTCAGATTTAAAATGGTTTATCGCCCAGGGACTCAAGCAAGCCTTCCAGACGGGTTGTCTAGACGGGCGGATTATCACTCGGGAAAAGGAAGTACCATGATACAGGAGAGTAACCTTATTCAAGGTCTGCCGAAGTT